AAGAGAATCCATCACCAACACTCCAAGTGGATCATACGGTACATTGTGGAAATCAACTCTTCCTCCTTCTTACTTCATAACATCCATGGGTACTCCCAAATATTCTGAACTTGTTCCTATTATGACTATGGAAAAAGATACCACAACGAAGATTGATAATAACATTCTACCTGAGGGAATAGTTACTCCTTCTGACAAATCTTTTATTTCATCTATTAGTTTTAGCTCTGAAAAAGATATGGCAAGCACCTTGAAACATTATATTTGGTCACAACGATTTTATAGAGAGTGAAACAGCTTCTGAATATGAAACAATTTATTTTACAGAAGACATTTCAGAAAAGATGGATGACATTTCTAATGCAGAGAAAATCACCACAGCGTATATGGACGATATAACTACTATGTTTGCTAACAGACACTCTGAATATGTTTCAGATGAGTATGCCTTTGAATCAAAGGAGAAATCAAAGGATTTTCTTATAAAAGCATATACACTTGCATATGCCCCAAGACACATGAATCTCATGCACTACTCACCACAGCTGCTGCTTCAGACAGTCTATCTAACACAATACCCTCAGAGTTTAAATCTAAAGAAAATTACCAAACAAAAATTCCTAGACAGGAAAATAAGAACTTGGATGCTGATGCCATTGCTCTCAAAGATTCCACTGTCAATGTCAATATCAAGGCTCATAGACCTACAGCTCACTTCCTAATTGATGCAAGTGATAATTTTCCTTCTAGTTTTCCTGACAAAACATCTGTGGGAAAAGGCACCATAAATAGTTATGATGACACCATTCTTCTCTCTGAAGCCTCTAACTTAGGAAATAAAATAACTGAGTATTTCCTTGTTCCAGGTACAGAACCCATAGTTGAAAGCAGGACATTCGCAACTGACATTACTAATCATGCTGTCAAAAACAGAAACAATTTCTTCAGGAAAAACATGCCACCTACCATTTATAAGACATTTATACCCAGGAGAGCAGGTACTGCTACATCCACTACGTCTGAATTTGCTGATGATAAAACTGGTATAGCTGCAGTGTCTGGTTCAAGGGTTAGCATTTTTCCTATAAATCAGCTTTCTAATGATGATATTTTCTATACGGAGAAAAATAGAGAAGATTCCATCAACACAGCTACTACTCACTTTTCTCCTTTGAAAAAGATGTCTACCATTATGTCAAATGCTTCTGCTATCTCCACGAAGGACAAAAATAACATCGGTTATTCTGGCCTTTCTTCATCGGAGAATGTCATGTCTCCAAGATTTACATCTATGGGATGACCAGGCACTCTCATTCTAACGGCTAATGTTCCCACTAAAGAAATTGCAACTCCTAGAATTGTAAAAGGATCAAGCCTATATTATCCACCAACATTAATATCAGCAGCATCAGAGCCTGTGTCTACAGATTCTTCTTACTCAATGAAGCCATTGTCCCACAAGGGCAAAATACTAAAAATCAAATGATTCCAAAGGCTCTCCCCTGGGTATACACTGTTCTGCAAGATGATTCCACTGGTTCTTCAGACAATCTCACAAATCTTGAACCTAACACATCTACTAGTATTGTCAGAGAGGATAACATTTTTTATATTGATGCCTAAATTCAGAACCCAAGAAAACAAACACCAAGGTTTCTACTCTTTTTCCTAATGAACATAGTGAGCAAAATTTCTATTATACTAGAGAAATAACTAAAGCTTCTGCAGTGAAAGACACCGCTACTGAATTTGGAGTGAACCATCTTACAAATGTGAATATAACAACGAAAATTATCCAGTTACCCAGATGGAGACAAACTTTCTCAGGGATGCTGACCTAAAGTATTTTCTTGTGAATAAATAGGTTATTGCTGATGATAAATAAATCAGGATTATGATAGTATCTCTATAGTGGCTTACTCAACCCTTCCCATGCATACTGATTCCCTCCCAGCTGGATCTGTTCCTCAGGAAATTAGCTCTATGGCTGGGGACTCAAACTTGTTCATGGAAGTAATTGCCATTATTCCTACTGATTAGAAATCTTCATCTTACTTGGAGATTATTTCTCTGGTGGAAGGAAATTCTAAATTGGAATTTAATATAGCTAATTCTAGAGTGGAAAATATTAAATTTCAAGCTTTATAAAGCGCAAATGTTACTTATAAATCCATTGTTGACATAGGAATATTATTACCCTAGTTTCAAGAACTTTCTATAGTACCACAAGATAACAAGGAGGTTGAAGAAAACACTTTCTTTAGAACTGATATGCCTTAGTCACAGAAGCACCTACTTCAAATGGTATCCCTGAGGAATCTACAAACAAAGCAGATATGAGGGTCATAGCTGACCCGCTGTAAATTCCATCTCCCTTGGATACAAAGAAATAATGACCTCACAGGCCACCATATCCTCCAATTACAATTTACTTAGTCATATACCCAACAATCCAACCACTAGAGGAGAAGGGGACAAAAATGTGAATGTTGACATAACCAAATTTCAAAATGTGATTGCTCCTCTGGCTTCCTTCACTGTTCCTGACGGTGAAATTTGTTCTCTGAATGAAGATAGTTAACCTGAAACTCTCTCAGCGACTCCATTTCAGCATAATTATAATCACCTCAGTTAGAGATAATATTTCTATATCCTCCAATAAACTGATAAAATCTGAAGATAAATAGACTTTCTAAAACAGGAATTCTAGTGCCCATAGGAGACACTGCTCATCTAACAGCTGATTCTTCTAAGACTGCACTTCTTTAGTCTAATAAAACTCAAGCTATTCTCCACACAAAGTAAATCTTAATAGTTGACATCACTATGATGCTGTTTTCAAAGTCTGTTCCTGAGGATTTTTTTTCCTAGTCAAATATCTCTGAAAATCATAAATGTGCCAAACGATCTTCCTGGAACCTTACTGAGAAATCTTTCCCTGTGTTAGCAGTTTCTACCTTTTCACTTAAAAAAAAGTAAGCATTACATCATGGACCTGAGGGAGTTGCCATTTAAAAGAAAGCATAGTGACTGAACCAAAAACTTCAAAATATAAAGAAAATAAAACGTACCTAATAGCCAAGCAAGCTCCTGCTACAGCTGCCAAATTCACTGGACTGAAAACCTCAAAATATAAAGAAAGTAAAAAATACCTAATAGCCAAGCAAGCTTCTGCACAGCTGCCAAAATAAGGAAGAGATATATACTCTCAGAGATATGTCAATAGATACAAATTTGACATTCCTGGGAAAAGACAAAACACTCCCGTTTGTGTGATAAGACACTCCAACAATGTAAGAAGATGCTGTTCAGGTAAAATAAACTTTATTTATGGAATCTAATCCTCTGGCCTTAAATCAGATAATATATTTGATGATAATAATTTATTGGTCAAAGAAGTATACTCTATATTCCCTGGAGCAGATTTCACAAGTTCCAACCTTAAGGTGGCTAATATTCCAGAAATCACACCAAGATTTTTACTATGCTTCCTGCTCTATGACGGTTGACATACACTCTCAATCTGAAATGTCCTTTTTACCATCAATGAGTTAAAAACACAGATAATGGTGATAACATTACCTTCAGGAGAGAAAGCCTTAATATGCTGCAGTCAATGTGATTCCACATCACAGCTATGTAAGTGGAAGTATAGTTGGTGTGACCAAAAAGTAACCCCTGAAATTAAAGATGCTGTGACAAACCAGTATTGCTGAGCATAATATAATCATATCACCTGACATTTCTGAAAGGGATTAAATGCTCATAAAAAAGAATATTTTTTCTCATTATTCCAACTCTATTCACCATGAAAGACACCAAGCCTTCCAAGATGTACAGCAGTTATCCAGCTAAATTACCTCCATCTCTTATTTCTTTTAATGGCATAGTTTGGTTTTAAAAAAGGCTGATTTTAAAGCATTAACACTTGACTATAATCTTTCACCATATTCAGTTAAACCTTAAGATTGATACCACAATGATGATATTTGATCAAACCAACATCACTATAGAAAACACTCCCTCTGAAATTGAGACTGTAATTCTTCTGGCTGATACAGTTATTGCACACCCTGATTTCCTAGATCTTGTTTCTGGAAAACTTCCCCTAGAGTAGCTAAAATGACACCCCAGACACAAAGGAGAATTGTCATATGACATCAACACCCTGCCAGATACTCCTTTTGGGGCTGAAATACACTGTCTACAAAAAAAAAAAAAAAATCCAGAAGAATTTGAACCTACAAATTTGATACTGTCACGGTTAACTCAAGTTAATTCAAGAAAAGGTGGGAATTATGATGAGTATGATGGAGAAGAACACTGAATGAGCCCTAACAGACCAGTGACTTCTTTACAATATCCTTACAGAAAAAGTGAGAATTCCTTCTCTGAAGAAGAGAACAAAATGCAGTCCTTGCTACCCAATTACCTTCTACGGCTACATTCACTGCCATGGAAGCCATTAATTTTTTGAGATATTTAAATATCATGAATCTTAGGGGAAGATGCTTCCCTTGAAAAAGATAGCATGATTTACTTGGAATACAGGAGACTTGAAGCTGAGGCTGATAAGTTTGTGCCTCCCAGAGTTTTCTTTACTGACACTGAAGGCACAAAGTACCTGGCTGACTCTGCCAGATCTCTTTCAAGTGACACTATCTCCATATAGGACAGCATAACCCTTGTAAACAGAAACATGGTAAATCCCAAGTTAGCTACAATTAAAATGTGTTTGGATGTGAAAGTTAGTTACATAATGACAGAGGACTCCATTGTGTTTTCATTTAATATAAATACTCCCACAACTGGGAACCCACCCAATCACAGCAAAGAAACAGCCTCCAAGGAGAGCCAATGTCATTGCCCCTATGGTTGATGCAACAATTGCACTGATGACCAACACTTCAGTCACCATAATGAACACCACTTTCCTGCCTGGGGACGCCACTGGGCCCAGGAGAAAGATCTTGTGAGTGTGCATGGTGTCACTTCACCCTATGGCTGAAGGTGGTTCTCCTAAAATTTATTCCCATCGTCCAACAGAAAGGAATAAAACACCAACTGAAGCAAAAATTTTCTTTGGTGCTGACAATACTATTGCTAAATCAGAAACAACTATTACTTCAGAAGGAGACCATATTTCTTCAGTAAATGACTCTACAAGAGAAAGTGATTTTTCATCTACTACAGGCAACAAGCTGGCACCTTCAAAAGAAAGACTAAAATCAGAAGATGATGTTGAGACTCATATCACCAAATCAACAACCCATATGGAGAAAGAAATGCCCACTCTGACTGGCACTACAAACCCCGTGGCTGATGACTCTATTACTAAAAATTTCATTTCAGCAAAAATTGGTAATATTTCATCACCACTTTCTACTGTTTCTTTAATAGATTTTTCCACTAACCTAGCAGAAGATAGTCTGTTGGATTCAATTTGCCCAGGGGATAAAGATGTCTCAATAACTTCTGAAGTCTCTGGTACACTTAAGAAAAGTACCATGTGCATTGTTGACACCCCTACACCTTCAGGTAAGAAGGATGCACCTGATGTCATCAATTCTAACTCCTCAGACAAATCCAATGCTGATGAAGTTGTACAGCTCACTAACTCCTCTGTTCCTGAGGTTGAAATCTCTTCCTCTGCTGAAAACATCACCACTATTCCAGATATAACTGCCCTTGCAGAAAAGAAAATAACTGAAATTGACCTAATTCTTTCAGAGGAGGACCCCAATGCAGTCGCTAAATTAACTGACTCTGAAGAGGAAAATTTCATCACTGTGTTTGAACTCACTACCTCTGCTGAAAGAGACAAAGATAACCCAGAAGATATTCCACTAATGGATGAAGAGTCTATCGATGAAGTCAATGTTTGGATGGAGAGAGAGAGTCCAAATGAAGCAGAGACTCATTCCATTTTGCTTACTGCTGTTGAATCCAGATATGACTTCATTGTCCCCACATCAGTAGCTATGAACCTCGAGGATGATCTACCGACTACAACAATGAAAGATTTGTCTGAAAATGATACAACTGAATCTGTAACTAAGGTCACTGGGCCATCTTCTGGAGCTACTACCATACTAGATGCACCAATCCCCATACTAGATACTTCGAACCACTTGGAAGACAACTTTACAACTGAAATGGATCTCTTTAAACTACTGGGAGAAGATCCAGATGGGTTCATGATTTGAAAGCAGCAAAAGGGATACTGTGTATAATGCTTTAATAGCCTAGTCAGTTAGTTTCAACATCTAAGAAAAGAAGTTTGTCCAGCAAGCAAAACTCTAAAAATAATGCAAGAATTGAGCATTTTAAGGCAAGTATTAGATAGAAATTTCAGATGCTTAATAGTAGAAATCATACAGCAGAATATATTTATGGAAACTTTAAAAACCAAACAGTACAATAGTCCACCTAGTATTGCAAAGTTTAATTGAATTATCCAACAGTTACTTACTTATTTTAATATAAAATGCTCAATCCCAGTCTTGAGGGATATGAACAGAGCAATAAAGAAAGCTTACTTCTTGCTACAATTAATGATGTACGTCATTTTAGTTCACTCTAAACAGCATATTTTAGTGAGAGTTAAGGAAATGAAGATGATGTCATTAACATATCTCAAAAAAAATCATTACAGAATTAACAGATTTTCTGAAATGAGTATGCGATTCTAAACAGATTTTGTTTCATTAGTATGCAACTAATGATTCTCTTCTATTAAAAAATATATTTGTAATAATCACTTATATAAGAATTAAGGCTATTTAGTAACTATTGAGTACCCACATGAGATATATATGCCACAAACAAGTTTCTTGGTTCACGGTAAATGCAAGCTAAGGTAAAATAATGTTTTACAAACGTGCATTTGTCAAAAAAAACTATTATGTGTAAACATATGAACCAATTTAATTTTCTTTCTTTTAAAATTTCTTTCCTGAATTTTTGTCAATTTTTTCCAGGTCTTAAATTACAGACTATTCCACTCTTCTTAGGATCTTGGTTAGCTATTCAAGGACATAAATCTTCACTCTTTTCTGGCACAGACTTTTTAAATGAGTCTCTTTTCACTTTGCTGATTTTTCTTCAATAAATCTTTTTGACATCAACTGATTTACTGTGTGAACGTGTGTTTGATATTCTAGTACAGAATTCTCACATTAGGAGATATATAGATAAAATGAAAATTCATCATTTGTTTAAAGAAAAAATTAACGTATAGAGACTCATAAATTTGTTATATTAAAAAAGAGAGAGAAACAAAGACCCAAAACAATGGATGAATAGTAAATGGTATAATTCAGGAAGGTGGGGGTAGCTATGAATTTGGACCATCAGATAGACAATGCTGTTGTTGTTGTTAGTTGCTTAGAATTGGCTCTGACTCATGGCAATCTTATGTATAACAGACTGAAACATTCCTCAGTGCTGTGCGATCTTCATGATCATTGGTATGTTTGAGTCCATTGTTGTGGTTTCTGTGTCAGTTCATCTTATAGAGGGTTGGTTTTTTGCTGAACCTCTACTTTACAAAAGGGATAGACTATATAATAGACTAGAATAATTACAGTAGCATGGTAAAGCCTAGAAACACGTTTTAACATAAAAATGTAGTATTTGGGAAATGGACTTCAAAACCATGGTATATATGATAGTAAATTGAGTATTTGGGGAAAAAAATTGTTAGAGTACTATTTAAGAACACGCTCTTAGATAAATTCTACATGGATTAAAGACTTTAGTGTGAAAAATAAAACTATACAAAACTAAGAAGGAAAGTTATGTGTATACTTATCTGAATAAGAGTTGACACATCTATTTAAGCAAAGAAAAGTCAAAAAAGATTGACAGATTTCATCACATAAGCATTTACAATTCTGTACAAAAGGAAAATAGCATAACATTAAAAAGCAAATGATAACTGGAGGAAAATAATTGCATTGTGAAAAAATTTCCATCCTTACTCTGCATAGAGTTCTTACAAAGAAAGCATTTTAAATAAACAACAGAAATAAGCAAATAATTCATGGAATACAAATTGTCAATAAAGATATGACAAATATTCAATAATAGTAGTATTCAAGAAAAGAAAACTATTAGATACCTTTTTTTTAATCCATTTGACAATTGACAATGATGGTTTTAAATATTTACTGTTGGCTAACGCAAATTTATCCAAACTTCCTTGGTGGCACTTTGGCAATATATATAACAAGCTTTAAAAATATTTAATGTTTTTGACCTAGCTGTTTTACATTTAAAAATTGTGAAAGAGGTTAACAGTTATTAAACTCTTACTACAAGCCAGGCACTGTTGTATTTGCATTTAGAACAACATTTTATCTTCATAATAACCCTATAACAAGACATATTTTATACCCATTTTATAGATAATGAAACTGAGTCAGAAAAGCTATTCAAAATGCCCCAACTTTATAATTAGTAAGTAATAAAGAAAGTCTCAAACCCAGGCAGTCTTCCTCCAGAGCCCATGGTCTCTTGATCACTACACTGTCATTAGCTCTCACAGATGTAAATACAAGGATATTGGCAAATACTTACATTCAAGCATGTTATTCTATAAATTTATAAAGCAAAAACCCTGAAAACAAAAAATTCTAGTTACAAGGAATTGGTTATATTTTGATACATCTATATGAAGCCATAGTATGCATCTCTTAGAACAGTTCTGTAGATCGTTCAATCACTAGGGAAATGTTTACACTAAATTGTTAAATGTTATACACACACATATAATCCCTGGTTGGTGCGAACAGTTAACACACTCGGCTGCTAACCAAAAAGTTGGAGGTTTGAGTGCACCCAGAGGTGCCTCCAAAAAACCAGCCATTGAAAGCCCTATGGAGCACAGTTTTACTCTGACACATATGGGCTCCCCATGAGTTGGAATTGACTCAACTGAAACAGGTAGGCAGGTTTTATGTGTGTGTGTGTGTTGTCAACATCATCAACCAGAAAATTTTCTCATATATATATGTGAAAGAGAGAACGTTACTTAGACAAAACATAAAATCAAAAAAAAAAAAAGTTTTAAGTACATCTTTACAGCAGAGATTATAAAGGAACTTGAGGTGATTTTGTTTCATTCTCTGCGCTTTCATGCATTTTCTAAATGTTCTTCAGTGATCCAGAATATAAAACGTGCACAGAGATGAATGACTGCAAACACCGTCAGCCAGAAAATTTGGGAACTGTCTCAGATTCCTCGCTTGCCCTTACTTCCTACACTCGAGAAAAAATAACAGTAATATTGTGAAGGGTTTCCTATGTGTCAGACACTGAGTATTTTATTCATTTTTCATTCATAAAGCATTTATTTCTCATGTAATTTCCAAGCACCACGAAAGCCTGTTATGCCATTGTAGTGAATTAAATGAATACAGCCCATACCTTCATGGAAATAAATCTACTGGGAAAGACAAATATGAAACAAATTCTCACAATCACACATGAAGAAAAGTCTAACTACTGATTTTGACGGGTGTTACAAAAAATAAGAAGAAGAAGAAATTATTATAGCTGCAGACTTTACACAAATATAAAGACAACGAAGTTGTCTGAGAAAGTGAAATTTAATCTAAGACTGAAGAAGGCGAAGGAGAGTTGGAGAAACAACATGCCCACAGCCTTGATGCTAGAAATGGCTTAGGTTTGTCAAATAATTGAACAGACTGTGTGGCTGGAACATGTCATCACTTAGAAAATGACTCAATACCAAGCTGAAGAGGTAAGCAGGAGACAAATCACGTGTAGTTTGTTAAACATTCTGGATCTTACCCAGAATACATTTGAAACAACTTAAAGCTTTTAATCATGTTATCCTCCAATTAGCCTGAGATAGGTAGCAAGCTAAAAAAATATTTCACAAACTGCAACCATAATTTCTTTCAGGGACTTTGTTTAGGAAAACAGCTTTATAGTCTCCTTTGAGTGGGGCGGGGCGGCAGAGAGGGTGAGCCCCTGAAGCATAAACTAGATTGGAACATGTAAGAAACTAAAGAGATAGCAAGCTCTACAACAGAAGGTGGAGGGCAGTGGTGGTTCAGTTGTACAATTCTTGCCTTCCATGTAAAGACCTAGAAACCCTGGCTAATGCACCTCAAGTGCAGCCACCACTCGTCTGTCTATGGAAGCTTGCCTGTTGCTGTAATGCTGAATAGGTCTCAGCAGAACTTCTAGACTAGGAAGAAACGCCAACCTACCTACATCCCAAAACCAGCCAATGAAAACCCTAGAGATCGCAATGGGACAATCCTGTTATGCACAGGGTCACCACGAGTCAAGGGCACCTCAACAGCAGCTAACAACAACAACAGAAGGTAAGAAATTTAAAAATAGGGCTGGGCAGAAAAAGGGAGAAGAGCAGAGCCCCTTGACAACCGGCTGGAGCCCAAGACGAGTAGCGAATAAGACTCCTGGTGGCCAGTGGACGAAGGACTTTTTTAAAAAGGATGCCTAATAATCAATTTAAAAGTGTGCAACTTCAAAGGGGTTTCTCCTTGCCCTGAAACTTCATTAAATGTCTTTAGGAGCAAGGTCTTGAATACATAAGTATTGAGGAAATAAAGGAATTAGTGCGCCCAAGGTGGAACCTCTAAAAGGTGGAACTAACGAAGGAAAGTATAGTAGACAAATTATTCATTCCCAAATATACTGAACAATAATAACCCTAGAAAGGAGTTTCAGGCATACAACAAGCTGACATTTAGAGTAAACTCATTTTGCAGATGATCAAAGTGACACTGAGAAAGGTCACTGGCCCAAGATAACCAAGCTCGTAACTGGTAGTGCTCAGTTTTGATCCATGTGACTCAAATCAGTGTGATTCTAAAGCCCAAGTTCAAAGTCACACCGCTTTGAGTTAACAATTGAACTGTAAATCATTCTACCTCATTATAACCCTCCCATTTCTCCATTCCCACAGCCACTCCCTTGTTTAAGCCTTCCTGCAGTCGTATAATTGGCCATCCCACCTCTGATCTTGGGTCCCACCAATCATAATGCCCCTCAGCACACATCTCTCATCTAAAGACCTTTACTGGCTCCCCACTCTATGATAAAGTCCAAGTTCCTTAGCACACAAGCCCTTACAAGTTCTTTCTCTGTCCACATCCCACCTGTACTTCTCCTGTTCTCCCTTCACACACTACGCTCTATTGATAGGAAGTACTAAAGGTAAGCTCTATGAGAGCTGGGACTCCAAACCTACTGAGTTAAACAGTACCTAGTACATAGTAGGT